GGATCCGGCGTTCGGTGCAACCTCGGCCCTGGTAGCATCGCATCGTATCAGGATCTATGCGAGGGCGAGCCAATCCAGCACTCTCGCGGTCGACGCGGCGCTGCATCTCGCCGTCTGGCGCCGTCTGAGCATTCTTCTTGAGGATCTTCCCTCTGGGGCGGGCGCCAAGCAAGCGCCCCCTCCTCGGCGGGGCGCCAGGTCCATTACCCCTCCTGGGAGGAGCCCTCGGGGCCCTCGCATCAGGGGGATGAAGGCGCTGAAAGGCCGCTAGAGCGAGCACCGCTGGAGCGCGCGCGCGAACGCTCGCGCGAGCAACTGCGGACCCGACCGCGACGTAGAAGACGCGGGTCAACTCCCCAGTATTCGTCATCATCGTCCGCGAGGCACGTGCGCCTCCAGGCTCGACGGCTTTCTGATCGCCCCTGGCGGCTCAGGGAATGCTCCGCGGCTACAAATGTAGATTGATATCCTGCGTCGCGGCCGAGCCCGCACAGGATGCGCTCCGACAGATCGCAAGCATCTCGCAGGCTTCCCCGCAAAGGGTCATCATCATACACTTCCATGTTCGTCGGATCACCAATAACCCGAGGATGGGGCATCAAGTGCATTTCCCCTTCGGTTGCAGGAATTGCGGCTTCTGAACCCGCGGGGGCTCCCACCATTCCTTGATCTGCCTCGGCGGGCATCTGGACATGCTCGACAAATTGAATATCGGCAGGTTACCCCGCGATGGGCATGCCCAGCCAGTCTGCCAGGTCGATCTCATTGTGGCCAGTAAAGATTTCCTCGAACAACTCGTCGGCGCAATTCTCGAGGGACCTACTGGCGCTCAAATATTTGGCATCATGAAATCAACAACTGGAATTGAGCTGTCGGCAGGGTCGGCTAAAAGTGTCTCCCAGTCAACATACTGCATGTCCGAATCAGTTTGAGCCAAATGCATCGACTGACCTCTGCCACCTCCATCGCCCCGAGGGCGCGCGCGGCGAAAATGTTGTGTGATATGGCAGATATCACATTCTACTGCATTGCCGATAGCGTCCTTCGGGTTGCCCCAGCGCCCCTTACCTGTTCCTGATGCGCGCCTGCGGTTCCTGCCTGCACCTAGGAACAACTCTTCATATTGCGGACCAGTAAGGGATGCTAGGACTGCTAACATACCTCTGCCATGCAATCGCCGTCGTTTGTCCCCACCCTTGCCTCGACCCTTACCCGCCCCCCTGAGCGCCCGTCGGATAGTACGTCGTACCTTAAGGACTGGCTTCTTCATAAATCGCCCCCATCGGCGCTTGTGTTTCTGATATGCTAAGAAGAGCCATTGCGCCTGGTGTTCTTCCGTGAGATACGTGGGCATGTCGGAATAGACTAGGGCAGTCGCCCCGTCGTCTGTGGACGCGTCGGCGTCGGTTCCAGAGTCGAAGTCGGACTCGGTGGGTTGCCCCGCTGAGCCCACCAGGGCAATGGCTTGCGAAGGGGCCGCCGCACGGCGGCCCCCGAAACCTGGCCCAGGAGTCTTGCAACCCCGCGACCGAACCACCATTTTAAGTTAATAATGCGGTGGTCTCCGTTGGTTGCGGATCGTCGTTCCAGACGTTGGTAGCAGGTTGCCCTGCGTTAGCTTCAGCGTGAAAGGTCTCGGCACGGTGACCGTGACTGAAGATACCACCAATATTGCCAGGGGTTCTTTCAGCGATGTGGGCACATGCTCTCATGCGTTCAAGCAGAGAATAAAATTGCTGCTCGTCCCTCGGCATGTGGTGGCTTAGTGGCTGTAGGGGTTGTCGTGCACGCGACGTCCCCACCCCCAATGCTCTGAATAGAATACCTGTGAGAACTTGGCAGTTGGGGGTGTTAAAGCCTGCCGTTTCAGCTTCATAGCGGGCTACATCGCAGCGCGCCTAAGCCTGGTCGATCCGTTCTCCCGCATGGACTCGGAACTCGATGAGAGCTGTACCAGAGTTGAGTTGGCGTTCCTCCTCTAGGTTCTCGAACTTCGTGCTTAAGAGGAACATGACGTAGGTGACGCCATCGGCATGGCGGCCACCTATGTCCAGGCCGAGATTGATAGCTGCTGGGAGAACTCTCATGGTCATGGTCCATGCGAGGCCTCCCAAGCCTCGCTGCAGTGCTGCAGCTTGTTGGGAGGGCGTCATGGTGCCTGTGGTCACGTTGACCCAGGCACGCACCTCGCGAACGAATTCGCGGATACGTCCTTGACCGGCCGGGTCCGAATGGGGGCCGGTTGTTCTTGCGTTGTCTCCGCCGCGCATGTGTCCCACCGCACACCCTCAAGGAGCCCATACGAGCCGAAAGATAATTATACCAATCCAACGGCCTCGTCGTAGGTCGTAGTCGGATGTGGTTGGTTGGGATTAGTGGTGTGCGGTCGCAAGCCTGCGTGGGGGTGGAGGCGACATAATGTCTTATCGCATGTTCCCACGCATTACATATTCGAAGAAGTTTCCAAGTGGAGCAGGTGGGTGGACGTCAGGGAGTGTAGTAGCGCAGGGATGTAGGACTCGAGCAAGAGGCCTCTGCGTGAGCAGAGGTATCACTGCAAGTGTCCTTGCGGTTGTGCGTAGTTATGTACATTCCTCCGCGCAGACCCACTGCACCCTGATGTTCAACCATGTCAGTAGTCCACCAGATGGTGCCGTGGATGGTGAGGAGTAGAACTAGAGCTGCCCACCATAGGCCAGCTCCGCTACCAAGTTTGAAAGGGGTCGGGAGGCCCAACCAGCAGCTTCGCCTTAGGCGAAGCCCAGCTCCAGCTCTGTTGTACCGTAGTAACGATAGTCCCAGTAGTAGGAAATCGTCGCGGGAGCGACGAGCCATCTCAAGCAAAGGATGTGTTGGTCTCGATGGCTAATGGTACACCTCGCGCTGAGGTGTAGTCAGATCTGGGCGGCCCGCCGCTTGGGCCAAACGGCCGCGGACACACGCTCGTTACCTCTCGCTTGTATCCCAGCTCACTTCAAAATGAAAGCTACAGGCCGGGTGGTTGCTCTGGACGGTTCCATGATGCCACAAGATGGCAGATGGCTAAGTTGGCCTCCAAGACGGCCAAGATGGCGCCAAGGGGGCCCAACATGGCGGCTCCAAGATGGACCCCAGACGGCCAAAGATGCACCCAAGACGGCCCAAGATGGCCTCCAAAATGGCCCAAGACGGCCCAAGAAACCTCTAAGAGGCCTCCAAGACGGCCGAAGGGGCCTCCAAGAGGTCATCCTAGGCAGGCCCGAAGGGGCCAAAATCCTCCCTGTTCCCTGAGTATTTGCAGGATGTCGCAATGAGTGTCATTTCGGCCATCAGACAGCCCACGACGAAAACGGCCCAAAAGGCCTCCATGACAGTCAAGATGGCCACCAAGACGGCCCTGAACCAGCCCAGGAGACCAAGGTGGCGTCCAAGACGGCCGAGAGGACCCAAAACACCTCCAAGCCCGCCAAAGAAGCCGCCAAGACGGCCTCAGATGGGCCCAAGATGGTTAGGGCTATGGGATCTGGGGCCGCGCCTGCCAACCCCCCACCTACCCCTTTGTAGTGTCTCTCAACTAACGGATCGCGTCGCTACTCGCGCTTTCCGTCATCCGCCGCCCCCTGTGGTCTTGCCACAGGGGCGCCTGGCATGCTAGATCTTACGGTCTTTGGTGTTGGTTCCCTTCCAACGCAGATCTCCCTAGGGGCTTCGGCCCAGCGCGCTGGCCCCGCAGAAGGCCCAGAAGCGACCTCAATGTCTGGAAGACATCCCCCAAGACGGCTGAAGATAGTCTCCAAGAGGGCCTAGATGGGCCAAGATGGCCTCCAAGTTCGCCCAAGATGGTCCAAGATGGCCTCCAAGACGGCCCAAGAGGGTCCAAGGTCCAAGATGCCTCCCAGTCCGCCCAAGAAGCCTCCAAAATGGCCCAGGACGGCCAAAGAGGCCCAAGAGGCCTCCAAGAGGCTTCCAGGAAGGCCCGAAAAGGCCAACACCTAAGATTGGCCTAAGTGCTCGACGGATGTTGGCAATTGCTTCGTTTCTGTTGTCCGACGGCCCGGGACGGCCCAAGAGTCCCCAAAGATCGCCCCAAGATCGCCCAAGAGGCCTCCAAGTTGGTCCCAGAACGGCCCAAGAGGCCCCTAAGACTGCCCCAAGAGGGCCCCAAGGAGCTCAATGAGGCTCCCAAGACGCCCAAGATGGCCTCCAAGACAGCCCTGCAGCACCCCAAGAGGGCCCTAAGTCGGCCCAGAAAGGCCCTCAAGACGACTCGCAAGGGCGTCAGACCGGCAAGGGGGCCACCAAGACGGCCCAAGATGGCTCCAAAATGACCCAAGACTGCCCATGAGGCCCTCAGGAGGTCTCCAAGACGGCCCAAGAGGCCTCCAAGAGGGCCTCCTTGAGGCCCGAAGGGGCCAAAATCATTGATCATCCTTAGGTGTTTGACGGACTTGAGCGTAGGCAGCCCAAGAGCCCCAAAATATCGCCCCAAGATCACCCAAGAGACCGCCAAGATGGCCCCAGAACGGCCCAAGAGGCACCCAAGACGGCCCCAAGAGGGCCCCAAGACAGCCGAAGAGGCCCCCAGGAGGGCCTCCAGGAAAGCCCGAACAGGCCAACATCAATGATGTCCCCTCCTCCTCCTCCTCCTCCTCCTCCTCCTCCTCCTCATCTTCCCCGCCATCCTCCCCGAAGTGTTCCCCGAAGGGTTTCTACAACGGCTGGGGGAACACATGGCCCGATAGCTTGCCACAGAGCTCGGCCACGTGGGCGATTCCAAATGGCAGGGGGCGGCGGTGATTCGCAGTAGGCGCCTTCGACACAAAACTCCCCGCAGCACTGCTCACTGCACCGACCTTGCAGACGTGCTGCAGCGGATTGTTGGCGTGGATGTCTGTCAATGCAAAACCCAGAAAAAGAAGGCGAGTGGAAACGACATTAATTTCGCGTGGGGGTGTTTTTGTCTACATTCCTGGCCAAAAAATCCCCACGTGATGAACTTCGAAATCCGGAACGAAATTCTCCAGGACACTCTGGGCCCATCCGATTGCTTTCCGAACGAAATCCGCTCTACGATGTTGGCGCCATGACACTGCGAGGGGGTCTGGGAAAGGCGCCCTTCCCCCCTCACGGCTGGCGGCCAGGAACCGCGTGGCCGACGCCCAAGGCGCCGCCGCCGCCTCGCGCTCGGCCTCGACGTCGGCGGCGGAGCCCGCGGGGGAGCCCGGCACAGCGGGCAGCGCGGGCAAGCCTGGGGGCGGAGCAAAAATTGCTGCGCAGCTGCTCGTGCTGAAGCGAAGACAGGGGCGCAACAAAATAGGATAGGAGCCCGCTCCCAGAGATCCAGCGCATTGAAAAAATCCGCCGACCCTTTGTGGGTCTCTACGCGTGTGAGATTATCCCTCCGCCATAAGCCCCCCCTGGGACCCCAAACCGGCAATTTGACCACGCCCCCCCTCGCCCGGTACGACCCACAGCCGAACGCGTCATGGGCGAACAGAGGGCCCAAAAACGAACCAAGAGGGCACCAAAACGCCTCCCTGACCGTCCATGAGGGCGACAAGTCGCCGAAATATCCTTCCAAGACGCCCACGATGGCTTCCAGACAGCCTCCGAAGCCCCCCAAGACGACCCAAGAGCCGGCGTCCCAAGCTAGCCCCAAAAAGCAGAAATCGCCCCATTCCTTACGCTAAACGATCATTTGTAGCATATTGGCCTCTTGCGGTTTCGCAACGTCCGACACGGGCCATGAAACCTTCCATATCCTCCCAGGACGGCCTCGGCAACTGCCGAGAGGTGTCCTAGAGGGCCCAAAGACGGCCTCAGAAGCGCCCAGAACGGCCCACGACGGCCTCCAGACGGCCCCAAGAGGGAGCCGGGAGGGCAACTTGTTGGTCCTTTGGCTCCGAGATTCCCTCATCCTACTGCAAAAACCTCCCAAGAGGGCCCCAGGGAGCCCCAAGCGAGGCCCAAAAGGCCCCCAACAGGCTCCCAGACAACCCCCAAAAGGTGCGCACACTACCTCCAAGACGCCCCCGTGACGCCTCAAAACCAACTCGTGACTCCTCCTCCTCCAACTCCTCCTCTTCTTTGACTCCCCTTCCGCCTCTCCCCTATCTTCCCCCTGCTCCTCCTCCTCCTCCTCCGCTTTCACCTTGTTTGCGTTTCTCTTTTCATCGGCTTCGTCCTCCCTCTCGTTCGCACCCCCGATGCTGCTACTTTTACGGGCCATGGCACAGGCGCCCTACTGGTATCAGTTGCACGCCGTGTATTTCAAGGTGCTTTTCTACTCGTCAAGCGCGACATGGCTCACGTCCACGGAGAAAACAGACTTCGGCAATTTCCTCTGGCACTTGCCACTGCACTGAAAGGCCTGCCAACTGCGCGACGTGAACCCTCCAAACACCGAACAGAAACATCGAAACCTTGAGCTCAGTTAAGGGGTCGGCGGAGGTTGTTCTTATCTTTCGGCCTCGAGGAGCCCTCCCCAGGCCCTGGGACCGTCAAAAACCAACTCAAGGTGGAGACTTCCGGGGACCGCGCATTAAAAATCACAGCATCGGATCTCTGGGTTGGTGATTGTTCGCTATCGCGCCCGTAACCAGCACCACCCACCCCCCTACCCCACACCCCCCTTTCGTCACGTCACGATTCGCGGCGTGACCGGCCCCTCCTCCCCTCCCCCCCCGCCCGGTCATGCCCGCTACCGCCAGGGTATAAGAAAACCGTCTCTGGGGATGACTCAAGGATCTGTGAAATACAGCGGTTCTAGAAAACGTATCGGCCGACGCGGCGGCCGTTCAAGTGTTCCAGAACAGACTCTGAGACGGTTCCAGAACGCTCTGGAGCGCCCCATCCCGATCCGAGCCCCGGCTGATGTACACCCTTGGCTGAGAGGGCAGAAAGCCGGGACCCAGCCCAACCAAGAGCGTAGAACCACTGCGGCACCGTTGTGAAAACCACTGTGCAAGCTTTGTAGGAACAAACGGCAGCGCTCTCCCCAAAGTGAGGAACCAGTGCGCTCGGAACCATTATCCCCATCGCTCGGACGTCCATGTCCTGCGTTTTTTCCGGTCTCGTGCGTGGCTCTTTCGCCAGATGATCGAGGCTGCTCCTGAATAATCCCCGCCGAGAAAAAGTGCACACCTCCGAGCGATGCCGAGCATTGTGCTGTCCCGCGCTCGAGAAGCCCGCCGCGCGAGGCCCGCCCGCGAGGGCCCGGCGCCCCGTCCTCGAGCCACCCCCTTCGAGCGGACCAGGGACCAGGGGCCGCGGCAGAGCCACGGGGGCCGATGCTGCGGAACATCAGGCGACCACAACCACGATCTTTGGGGACGTCCCGTGCACGCCTACAGTCGGGGCGTTGACCTAGGGAACCCTTTTTTTCCCATAAGATAACCTTCGATTTCCAGTCGAAAACATAAGGAAAGCGTGAGGCAAGCTGTGAAACACTTAAGGAACGCGGAGCCCCTCCCCAACAAAAAAGGGTTCCTTTTTCAGGGCCCCGACTGTACAGTCGTCAGAACACCGGAACCAACTCAGCACTGGCTGTGGTCGATTTGACGTCCCCGGACGGCCAACTCGACCACAGCCGCCACCAGAGCTCTCGTGTCGAGGTAGCGGCTTCTCCCCCGAGGGACCCCCCAGAAGAATCCATTCAATTGTGGTTGTGGTTTGTTGTTGCGCACAAAATTCATGCCACGGCGCTCTGGAACCTCCGCCATTGGGCCCTGGCCATGCCTGCAAAGCCCATGCAGGGCATCTTTCCCCCCAAAGACTCAATTCCAGTGGCGTCTCAGTGCAAGTGCCTTGCCGGTGACGGAAAGCACGCGGACCAGCTGATACCTGTACCCTTACCTAGGCAGGGTGGCAAGGGGCCGGGGGGGCGACGCGTCGCAGCTGACGGCGGCTGCACAAGTGTAGAAACGACAGCCGATCGAGCATTACACACCGCTGTCTTCTCGGGGCGCACGTTAGCACCGATCGCACGTGCGTTCGAATCGGCGGAGTGCCCGACCCTGCGCTGGTTGTTGTCGATGTAGACCAGCTACTGCGGAGGCGCGCCCCCAGACACACATCCGGGCGTTGAGGAGTCAACGCGCACTCGGGGGCGCACGCGAAGAACTCTGGCGCGAACGTCATTGCGCGACAACCGCCCTATCGCGAATTGCTCGATGCAGAGACATCGCGAATCTGTGCCCTGGGCGAGGTCGCCAGAAGCCGCCCCCCTTGCACGGCCGTCTGCGGATCACCCCAGCTAGGTACGGTTGCCCCATGAAAACCCAAAAACATACCCGTACCTAGCCGGGGTGCCGCAGCTCACCCCAGCTAGGTCCGGGTATGTTTCGGTAGTTTCAGGCAGGTCCCCGTACCTAGCCGAGGTGGCGGCAGGCCCAAAACGCTCTCGAACACATATCATGCCCTCCAGAGCCGTCCCCGACGTGGCCGCTGCGGCCCCCTGGGGGCGCGACATTGCAACGTCGTTCCCCAGTGCAGGCCCAGACGCATTGGTTGCCAGGAGAGCGAGGAAATGCAACTCTTTATCGATTGGGGCAGGCGCCGCCACATATGGGCGGCTTTGAACCGCGCACGCACCACGATGCCCCGAGACGTCCCTAACAAAAACCAGCGCTTGTCTCTGCAATCAGACACCCAGCCATCGAGCGCGCCGTTGCGTCTTGACGCGCGGATGCTGCACTGGCGCGCGCGGGGCAAGCTGACCGTGCACAATAGCAAGCGCCCAGTCCCCCGGACGGCCCATCTCACCTTGGCTGGCCCCGGGTACGGGTATCTTTCGGACCAATGAATTGGGCCCTGGCCATGCCTGCGAAGCCCATGCAGGGCATCTTTCCCCCCAAAGACTCAATTCCAGTGGCGTCTCAGTGCAAGTGCCTTGCCGGTGACGGAAAGCATGCGGACCAGCGCCAAGACGGCACTGGAGAAGTCTGGGGTGCGGTCCCTGGGGACGCTGGGCGGGAGGGCGGGGGCCCCTCGAGCCCGAGGACGCGCCAGGGTCGCCGATCATCGAAGGGCAGCGAGCGCCCGAGAGCCGAAATGCGAGGCTCGCGGGGCTCGGAAGGCCCATGGGCCTCATGGGGTTCAGGGGGACCGCAGGGCTCACTGGAGGGGTAGAAAGCGAGCGCCCGCGATTCCCATTTTTTTCTCAACGGGCTCGTCAACGCGGTACAAGCGAGCGCGAGGGCCGGGACAAATAATATAAGTATGACGTGTCATGTTGCTCCCGTCGGCAAAAATATGTTGGTGCCAGGATCAAATGCCCCTGCTTGCCTGCAATAACACACCACATAAGTATAAATACAGACATACATACATACATACATACATACATACATACATACATACATACATACATACATATATATATACATACATACATACATGCATGCATGCATGCATACACACATACATACATACATACATACATGCATACACACATACATACATGCATACACACCTACATGCATACAGGCATACATGCATAAATTAATGTGTAGGTAGATGTACATATATAAACACACACGTACATATACACGGTAGAAGTTTGCCAGTGTGGACCCCAAGCAGCAAAGTATTGTTCCCTGGGCGTGCGATGCATGGGGCGCGCTATACGTTGTGCAACACACACGCGACGCAGGCTGCGCAAGTCAAGCGCGGCCCCGCACGGGGCGCGCACGAGTCGCCCGCGGGCGCCCGCCGGGCGAAAGCCTGGCACGCCCAAAACCAATCCGCCCCCGGATTGGCGTGCAACGGCCCCTCACCGCAGGCCCGGCGCAGAAACCGGCAGGGAGGACCAAGACGAAAGTGAAACACGGACACGAATGAGAGGGCTGGGGGCCGGGATCGAAACGCTCAGATGTATGACTTTTAGAAATGAAAAGATGCCACCAACGACGATTCCGTCGATTGTTCGGAGGCCCCGACACGGAACGGTGAAATATCGCGCGGCGACCTCGGGATCCGAAGACCTCGTCGCGCGGTCGTTCACTGCGCGGTTCTGGCACTTCGTAGGCCCCCATCGCCTGAAACATCCTCGTGGAATGACCCAAGCCCCAAAACCGTGCGGCTGGCCCCAATTCCCACTGACTCGGCACGCAGTGCGGCCACCACACCGAATGCTCCCCTGGGCGACGCGGGCCCCTCGAACTCTCGACGTGATCCCCCCAACCTTGTCTCGTCGCATGTCTCGACAGCCTAGAGAACAGGTTAAGCGGGCCTTTGGGCCAATCTGGGCCCCAAGAGATTCGAGATGAAACCGCGACCCCCATGATGAAAAAATGATATCGATGTTTACCCATATCCCGAAGGAGCGAGGAAGAGGAGGCACGGCGACGACGACGACGCCCCCCAAGCACGCCGGGCCGCGCGCCCTCTCTTCGCTCGGCCCCCCCGGGCTCAGATGGCCCGCAACCGCGCTGCCGTCGTCGCCGCCGCCCGCCGCCAGAGGAGGGGCGAGGCCCCCACGAGCCAGCGCGGCCCACAGCGACCAAGGGCGGGGGCGAGCAGGAATATTGGCCCTTCCTTGGGCGATCTATGAGAATAGAGTAGGAAGATCGTCCCCATACAATGCTTGACTATTTTCGGAGATTCCCCCTGTAGAGGGACACGCCCGATTTAACAGTAGCGACGACGAGGACCTTCCAGAAGGTCGAGATCGGTAGCCTCTCAAGGAGGTCCTGGAAGCCCGGGAGGCCCCCGAGACACCCAGAAGACCCCCAGAGAGGCCTCGAGGAAGCCCCAGACACAGCCAGGCAGGTCCAACAACCTGAACTTAAGTCGAGCGTGTCCCCCTACTGAGGGATTTCGGACCAAAAATTGAAATAGACAAAAACATATTCTAAAAAATGCTCAAATAGATTCAACAAAATCGTCGCGGGACTATTGTCTGACTATGTTTGGATTTTCCTTCTGTAGAGGGGCGTGCCCAACTGAAACCTAGACCCTCCTTTTCCTCGTCCACCATTTCGAGGCGTCGCCCTGCCTTCATTTCGAGGCGTCCACGGGCGCGTGCGTCAGGAAGTGGAGCAGGGGTGCAAGGATCTGTGCTTGGACCGTTTTGGCCTCCTCCTTCTCGTGCTCTTGCCTTCTCATGTCAGCGGAACGGAAAGCTCGGCTAGGGCCAGAGGTGGGATCGGAGGAAAATCTCTCTAGACGGTCCCTGCAGGAGGAAACGATCTCAGCCTCAAACTGGGGTCCCTCCATGGCCCCACCGTGGGCCCGTCTACGCTGGAAGCGGCGGGGGGATTGGCGCCGGATGGACCCCGACAAAAATCTGACAAAAATGGGGGACGAAGGCAGATCCGCTCGAATCGGTCCCGAACCCCTCCCAGGGTCGAAACTGACAAGACTCTCGGGCCGCGTCCAGCCGTGGGGACAAGAGCACGCCTCTCGCAGCCTTTTCTGCTGGCTGGAGCTAGTGCTGGGCCACCACAGCCACCCAGCCGGCTCCAACCTCTACTAGGGGCCTCCCAGATGGGGTCCGAGTAGAAAGGGTCCAAGGATCGCTCCGCATCGCCGATGCATCGCATCGTCGACGTCGGATGCATCTCCCTCCCTTCCTCCCTCCCTCCTGGTCCCCCACGATGACTCAGGATGAAAACGCAACCATGTGTATGTGCCTTTTTTGTTTGCTCGTTCTGCAAGACCTATTTACAGTCACCGCGGTTCTCGAGCCTAGCCGGCTACGGCGGTTAGCAAGCTGAAATGCAGCGCCTGGGGACCGACAGAAGCTAAAACGCAACGTCTGGGGACCGATCTGCGTACCCTCGATCCTTCCCTCCTCATGCCCTCCATCCCTCCCCTCCTGATCATCCTCCCCCTCCCTCCTGGCCGATGGTAGGCGCTTCTCACAGCGGTCACAGAGCCAAGTTCCATATGTTCCGTCCATGTCCTCTAGCTGCGCTCATCTATCCAATCAGCAAGACATCGAACCATTGGCTTGCAAGTGCTCTTGCCTTCTCTTGTCATCCCTCCTGGTCCCTCCCTCCCTCATGGCCCCTCCTTCCCTCACTCCCTCCCTCCTTCTGATAATGAGCCATGCTCCAACATTCCCAGACGGCGCCAGCGCGAATCACGCCGTCGTGACCGGCCCCCTCGCGCCCACCGCACCCAGTCACGCCCGTTAACTGTCGCAGGGGAACAAACAACGCTCTCTACCCTCCTCCCCTCCTCATCCCCTCCTCCAGAGGCAACTCATGTGAGCCTCCCATGCCATCTTGCCCGCTCTTGCGCATCGACGCTAGTCGACGCTAAATCGACGCGAATCGACGCTACATCGACGCTACATCGACGCGAATTGGCGCTCACTGATGCTAGATCGGCGCTAGCTCATCGACTCCCAGACGCCAATCGACGCTCAAGACGGGAGGGTACACCAGCTACTCCCTCCTCCTCCCCTCCTTCCCCCCTGGCCCCCCACGCCCCCCTCCCCGCGCCCGCGCGAGCCTGCGCCGACCGGCGCCACGAAGGCGAACCGGAGGCCTCGGCCCGCACCGCGGCGGCGGCGACGGCAGCAGCGACAGCGACGCCGACGGCGACGGCGGCTGACGGGCTATCGATCGGGGGCCAGTTCCACGGTGTCCCCCGGGGCCGTACGCGACCCGAGGAGGAGGAGGAGGAGGAGGAGGAGGAGGAGGAGGAGGCGGAGGAGCAGGAGGAGGAGGAGGAGGGAGGAGGGAGGAGGGGGGAGGGGGGAGGAGGAGGATGAGGAGGAGGGAGGAGGAGGAGGAAGAGGAGGAGGAAGAGGAGGAGGCAAAGTAGAGAGGAGGAAAACGAGTCGCCTAAGGCCTTCGGAGAAACCCTCCGGGGCCCGTGCCTCCCCAGGGCACCCCTGCGGGGCCAGTCACTCGGCGCCCGGGCAGGCGTTCAGGGCGAGCCTGGCAGCCCGGGAGCGCTCTCGCCGCGTGGGCCACGTCGGGATCACCCCATCTCTGGTGGGCTCGTTTTCCACCACCACCACCACCACCACCACCACCACCATAAGTACAAGGGAGGGGGGGTCCTCCTCGTCTTCCTCCTCCTACTCTTTTCCTCCTCCTCCTCCTCCTCCTCCTCCTCCTCCACCTCCACCTCAACCTCCACCTCCTCCTCCTCCTGCACCTCCCCTCCTCCTCCTCCTCCTCCTCCTCCCCCTCCTCCTCCTCCTCCTCCTCCTCTTCTCCTCCTCTTCTCCTCCTCATCCTCCAACTCCTCCCCCTCCAACTTACAGTGGTGGTGATGGAAGACAGGTCCATCAATCTCCGACCTTCCGAGGGGCGCGACACAGCTCTGTGATTTTGTCGGGTCCGAGGTTTTGCCCCGGATTCGGCTTCCGCTTGCTCGCCCAAGGACCGTCCAGACCTGATCCAGAACGAAAGTCTGCCCCGGAGAAAGGAGCCGGGACCTGCGCGAGTGCTCAGAAAGGCCGAAGAATGCCAAAGACCCAAAGTTCCCCAAACAGTAATTGCACTTAGGGGTTGTCTGGCGATCTGGCGGTTCCGTGGTCGCCGTCGCCCCCCCGTCGCCGCGTCGTCGCCGCCAGTCGTCTGGGCCGTCTGGTCGTCTGGCGGTTCCGCGCTCGCCGTCGCCACCCAGTCGCCGCCTGTCGTGTGGCGTGTCTCGCGGTCAGACGGTTACGTGTTCGCCGTCGCCGCCCCATCGCCGACTCGTCGCCGCCCGTCGCTTGGGCCTGCCTAGCGGTCTGGCGGTTCCGTGTTCGCCGTCGCCGCCCCGTCGCCAACTCGCTGCCGCCCGACGCTTGGGCCTGGTTAATGGCCCGGCGGTTCCGCATTTGCCGTGGCCGGCCCGTCACCGCCTCGATTGCGCAATGTCAATTCCCCCGCATGAATTGCACCGCGTGGACTGTAACACTTACATTGCGCCCCACAGATTGTACTACATATACGAACGCATGTATATGTGTATATATCCCCCGGCGACGCGCCACCGCGGATCGCCGCGACGCCGTTGCTGACGAAGCGGGCCGGCCCGCCAGGGAGAGCGCGTGCGTCGCGGGGCGAGCTCCGCCCGCTGTGATGTCTGCGCGCCGTCAACAGGCCCGCGGTACTCCAAGCGGCCTGCCGCGCCTTGGGCCAGCGCAACTCCCCAACCCGCCCTGGCGAGGACGGGGTCGGTTGGGTGCGCGCAAACGCCGTCTGTCCAGGCGCGCGTCCGAGGCAAACTGGCGTCGGGGGCCGGCAAAGCCGGGGGCGGCAAGGGCCACCGCGCCTGGTCCGCTAGCGCGGCGAGCTACGGGTGCTGCGGCAACACCCAGGTGGGCGACGTTTCCGCCAGCAGCCGCGCGCGGGCAGTCGCGCGCGCGAGGCCCTCGGTGGCCAAAGCGACGGCGCGGGCGGGCTCCAAGCAAGGGCAGATCCAAAGTTTGTGTTCCAGGTCGTCTCGCGCCGCGCCGCAATGCAGACACGCCGCTTGGCGTCCCCATTTCGCCGCCACCGTTTCCGTGACGACGTTCCCGGAAAGCACGCACACATTCCCGCATGGGGGAACCTTCCGCCCGCCAGTTTGCTCATCAATATAAATATGACTCCGCCCCATCGTCCATCCTCAATATGAACTCGTATATTCCGAACCAAACTGGTTTCTCACACGCACGAACACATCTCTCTGCAAAACATGCAATGTGCGCGCACTCGTTTATCAAAGAACCTATGTTCCCCAAAATCCATTTGCAAAGACAGGGGCGACGTGCACACGCGCGCGTCGTCGCGCGCATACCGGATTAGTTTAACAACCTTCGGCGTCGTGCAAAATACGAAACATAGTGTCCCAAACATATGAACAATAAGAAGAAACAACAAAAACAAACGAGAACGAATTACCAACATCAATGTTCGAAAAAACCGTTTGCGCGCGCGCTGTTGCTCATTCTTGGGCACCCAAAAATTGTTCAACATTCTCATCAAATTCAACAAGTCGGGCCCCACGCGCGCGCATGTGATAATCATTCGAACGCCCTTGCGCGCGCGGTGGGAGGGCACGAGCACCATAAGAACAACCCATGCGGGCCATTCGCGCGCACGTCGGATGCGCGCGCATGTCGGAGTCTTTCCAAAACTTCATCACCGCCGCGGGAACACCATCATCGTCACCGGCGTGATCAGCATCGGCGCCGTCATTGACCATGCAGTCGTCATCGTCGAAGTCGCCACCATCATCGTCAGCATTATCGCTACCATCATCAGAATCGCGTCTCTCGTTTCGACGTCACCATGAGACCCCGCCCACCCAACTCACCGACTCGCACTGACATGGCCGCGCGCAAACGCGGCCTGCGACATGCACTAGGAAGTGCCCAGCGGTCAGCGCCACCGCGGTCGCGTCGGTCGTGCAGAACTAACTGCCCGTTGCGCGCGCGAGCCTGCGCGGGCTTGCGCGGCCGCAGATGTGCACCAGCCAGCAGAGCCAAGCACTCTTCGCAATCGCCGCCGCATGGGTTATGTAAACCGAATGGCGGGCGGATGGGCGGGAGGGCTGTGCGCGCAGTCGACGCGATCCCCCCTCCCAGGATTCGTGGGTCTTCCCCACGGATCGGATGTTGTGGGCCCGACCCTGGGATACACTATGAGGGAGGAGGCGGAGGAGGAGGAGGAGAAGGAGGAGGAGAGAGAGGGAGGAGGAGGAGGCGCAGGAGGAGGAGGAGGAGGAGAAGGAGGAGGAGGAGGAGGAGGACCTGGAGGAGGAGGGGGAGGAGGAGAGCAGGAGGAGGAGGAGGAGGAGAGGAGGTGGAGGACGAGGAGGAGGAGGAGGAGGAGGACACGATGAGGGGGGCGTCCACCCTCGATATGGGGTGCGTCCGGGTAGCCCCCCTTGGGGTGCATGCCAGGGCGCCCTTCTTCGGAACGGCCAAGCTGCTCGGGCGGAGCTCGGGGATCTAAACCAGCCTCGAAAGTATCCCTATCCCTAAGATGGGCGAGCAAAAAGCGAGGACAGTCTTAGGGATAGGCCCTCAAAAACCAATGGAATCCTTAAGATCGGCATCGAGGTGAAGTGATGTCAAACATAGGGATAGGGATATGTTCCAGGCTGGTAATATCTGGGGGGGGTCGCCTGCGAAGCGAAGCTTATCAGAAGCCCTCGCGCCCTCTGGGAAGCCGTCTGCGGCTCCGAAGAGGGCCTCCGAAGCTGCTCAGAAGGCGCGAGGGCTTCTGAGAAGCCCCGCGGCCTTCTGAGAAGGCCTACCGCCTCTCACTCCGCTGGAGCAATCAGCATCGAATCGGGAAATCAGATCGGATCGGAATGTGCATCGACTCGGGCCGCGTCGGCACATATTCAGGCCCGAATCGGATCGAGTCGGCCGCGCCAGGATGCTCCACAGTGCCGCTCAAGCATCGGCCCAAATCGGATCGCTGGAACATCGGAACCAACCGAATCGCATCGATCGGATCGAAATGAGCCCTGGGGGAAGGGGGGGTGCACGGTTCCCCCAGGGGCCGAAGGCGACCCGAGGAGGTGGAGGAGGAGGTGGAGGATGGGGATGGGGGAGGAGGAGACGAGAGAGACCGCACGCTCCTGGGCAGTGTGGAGGGACGCACAGGCCTGCCCCGACGGGCGACGAAGGGGCGATTGGTGGTCGATGCTTCCTCCTCCTCCTCCGCCTCCTCCTCCTCCTCCTGCTCCTCCTCCTCATCCCTCCTCCTCCTCCTCCTTCTCCTCCTCCTCCTCCTCCTCCTTCTCCTCCTCCTCCTCCCCCTCCCCTCCAGTCCCTCCCACCCCGTCGTTGCCCCCTCAGACGCTGCCCCCTGTAGTTGCCCCCTGTCGCTGCCCCGAGAGAATCCCTGAAATCGAATCGAGAAGTCGGATCGGCGATCGAAACGAATCGGATCGGCGGAGATCGGCAGCCCAGTCGGGAGAAGCCGAATCGGCAGAAATCGGCAGGCTATACTATAGCAAAGGTCCTGCTGAGAAATCGGAACCCAAAAATCGGAATCCGAAGCCGAGCGGAATCGGAATCGGAAGCCATCGAAACCGAATCGAATCGGAAGAATCGAACTGAGCCCTATGACGAACGAACCACACACACACACACACACACACTTCCATACCCATAGGGGGTCGGAAGGAGGAGGACTAACTACGGGTATGGGTGCGGGCTGTCGGACCCTCGGGGAAGCTCCCGTTCGAGCGGGGGCCCCGATCCCACAACACGCAGCCGCAGCCCCCTCCGTCCCCCCTTCTGGCCACGGGTGCGTGGTGCTCGCTCGTCACCCTGGCCGTTCCGCCCCTGTCATTGCACCCATGGGGGGCTCGCCGCCAAGCCGAGGGGCGGCATCGGCCGCGGCGCTCCGGGGCGCGGGCCCAGCAGCACGGCGAGGCCGAGGGCGGCGAGGCAGCGGGCGGAGACTGAGCCGCCGGGAGGGGGGGCGGCGTGCTCCTCGCTCCCCACCCGTCTGGAGCAGCCTTGGCCCCGCCTCCTCCTCCTCCTCCTCCTCCTCCTCCTCCTCCTCCTCCCCTCCTCCTCCTCCTCCTCCTCCTGGTTCCCCTCCTCCTCCTCCTCCTGGTTCCCCTCCTCCTCCTTCTCCTCCTCGTCCTCGTCCTCGTCCTCCTCCTCCTCCTCCTACTCCTCCTCCTCCTCCTCCTCCTCCTCCTCCTCCTCCTCCTCCTCCTCCTGCTCGTCGTCCTCCTGCTCGTCGTCCTCGTTATCGTCATCGTCATCATCATCGTCACCAGCATCATAATCAGCATAATCGTCATCATCATCATCATCATCATCATCATCATCAGCAGCAGCAGCAGCATCATCATCATCATCATCATCATCATCAGCATCATCATCATTATCATCGTCATCATCATCATCAGCATCATCATCATCAACATTATCAGCAACGTTGTCATCATCAGCAGTCGCATCAGCATCATAATCATTATCAGTATCGTCATCGTCATCATCAGCAGCATAATCATCAGCAGTATCAACATCATCAACTGCAGCATCGTCAACAAACACAACAGTCGCACCATCGGCATGATCATCATCAGCACCATCACCACCATCATCATCATCATTATCATCATCACCATCATCATTATTATCAGCATCGCATTCACCATCAGCATCCTCATCATCATCCAAGCATCAGCATCAGCATCATAATCATTATCAACAACAGCATCGTCGTCATCATCATCGCAATCGTCGTCGTCATCATCATCATCATCATCATCATTAGCAACAGCATCATCATCATCAGCATCATCATCGTGATTGTCGTCGCCATCATCATCATCATCGTCGTCGTCATCATCATCACCACCATCAGCATATTCATCATCATCATAACCTTCATCACCACCACCATCACCACCATCACAACCACCACCATCATCAGCATCATCAGCATCACCATCAGCATCAGCATCATCATCGTTATCATCAGCATCATCAACACCCCCATCACCATCATCATCACCATCATCATCAACAGCCAGCATCAACAACAACAGCAGCCGCATCATCAACATCATCAGCATGGTCATCAGAATCACCACCACCACCACGATCAGCATCATGATCAGCATCATCATCAGCAGCATCATCCTCAGGATCAGCATCCGCATCAGCATCGTAATCGTCATCAGCAGAATCGTCATCATCAACGTCATCCGTATTATCACCGCCACCATCACCATCGTCATCATCACCATCATCATCATCAGCATCATCAGCAGCATCAGCAGCAGCATCAGCATCAGTATCAGTTTCAGCATCATCACCACCACCATCATCCTCAGCATCATCATTGTCAAAATCCTCATCATCACATGTATCATCGTCATCACCATTATCAGATCATCAGCATCATCCACATCATCTTAACATCAACATCATCATCATCATCAATATCGGCATCATGATCCGTCTCGTCATCGTATTCATCATAGTCGACATCATCAGCATCATCATCACAATCATCAGCATCTTAATCATCACGATCATCATCATAACAGAGGCAGCAGCATGACCACCATCATCAACATTAACAGCAGCATAAGCATCGCAAGCATCATGATCAGCATGATCATCATCACCATCATCATCATCAACAGCAGCAGCCTCACCACCACTACCACAATCATCATCAGCATCACCATCACCACCACCATCGTTCATCACCATCAACATCACCGTTCATCGTAATCGTCATCGTCTTCGTCGTCGTCATCGTCATTGCAATCGTCATTGTCATCGTCATCATCAGCATCAAATTCAGCATCAGCAGCAGCATCATCGTAAAAATCATCCTCGCTCCCGGGTCGTGCAATCGAAAGGCATGATTGTTTTCCCTCCAAGGTCGCCCAACGGGACTGCATCTAGGCGAGGGCACGCTGAGTGAGTGTACCAGGGGGCGCACCAGACTGCGGTGGAAATGGCAGAAAAAGCAAACACGTCACAGGCAATTGGGACGCCCGACTGGGTTGACGTTGTGCACGACATTCCCGTTGAGAACTAATTCCAAGGTTTCAGGCGGTATGGTATGACGTTATGAAATGTGCTAGACGCTGACGCCAGGACAGCTTTACAGCAGCGTATACTTCCAAGTTGACCGCCAGAACGCGGGTAACATGTCTGAATGGTTGATCACACCAGACGGGTGGGAGCGAGAAGTGCTTCCCTGCAACGCAGTGTCGATGGCAGTCTAGTCGCGACGCATTGTTGTAGGTGGTGGGGGCCTGACTGGCAGGGCAGTGCCCTCTCACCTACCCCGTGTTCCTCCCCCTTGTGCCCCCCCCCCCTGGACCTCCAGGGGGGACACATCCTGCGCCGTGCTAGTCCCCCATGGGGTGCTTCTCCTAGCATCGGCGTCCTCCCACGGAAGATATGCGACTTGATGCGATCCTCGCCCCATCATTATCCTCATCCTGCGATTCCTCATCCGCGTTCCTCCTCTGTTCTCCTCTCCTCCGCGCTCATCCTCAGCATCAAACTCCACGCTCCTCATAGTCCATCCTCTTCCTGCAACTCAACCTCCTCTTTCACATTATCCTCCCCCTCCTCCTCCCTCCTCCTCCTCCTCCTCCTCCTCCTCCGCCTCCTCCTCCTCTCCTCCTCCTTCTACTACCCCTCCTCCGTTCCTCCTCCCTCCTCCTCCTCCACCACCTCCTCCTCCTCCTCCTCCTCCTCCTCCTCCTCCTCCTCCCCCTCCCCCTCCTCCTCCTTCTCCTCCTCCTCCTCCTGCCGCTCCCCTTCCTCCTCCCCGTTACTTCCTCCGCGCTCCTGCCCCCCCCCCTCCTCCCCCCCGCGCGGGGCCGCGCCCGGGGCGCCTGTCATGCCGGGGCGGTGTGCCTTGGCGCGGTCAGGGCGCCGCAGGGGCCGAGGGCTGCTCGAGCAAGTAAAAACAAACTGCGGGGCAGAATCGGCCCTGGCGGCGGCGAGGGAGGGATGGGAGGAGGGAGCAGGGGGGGCAGGGAGGAGAAGGAGCGAGAAAGCGACGGAGGAAGAGGGAGGGGCGGCGGAGCAGGAGGGAGGAGGAGTGAGGAAGGAGAGGGGGAGTACGGGAGGGGGGATGCGAGGTAAAAGGAGGAGGCAAGGAAAGGACGGCAGGAGAAGGAGAGGGGGAGGTAGACTCGCATTGACAGGGGGAGGAGGAGGCAAGGACAGCAGGGGAGGACAAGGAGAAGGGCGGGATAGTAGGACCGATAACACTACAACAACAGTTGCTCTGCAAACACCCGCTTTGCCCGAAAACGAGGAGGAGGAGGAATGGGAGGAGGAGGAAGAATGGGAGGAGGAGGAGGAGGAGGAATGGGAGGAGGAGGAGGAGGAGGAGGAGGAGGAGGAGAAGGGGGAGGAATGGGAGCATGAGGAAAAGGAGGCGGAAGCAAGCAGAAGCAGACCGCTGGCCCGCTCCACCCACGGTCTCGGCGGCGAGGGCGGAAAGAAGGGAGGGAGGGAGAGAGGGGAGGCAAAGAGGCAGGGAGGGAGGAGGAGGAGGGAGAAAGGAAGAGAGGGAGGGAGGGGAAATAAGGAGAGGGGGAGGGAGGGAGAGAGGGAGGAGGGGTAGGAGGAGGAAGACAGAAAGCGAGGGAGCCAGGGAGTTGGCAGGGATATCCAGAATACAGGTGAATGCCACGATGCCGCGTCCACACAGTAGCCATCAAGATCGGAAGGCGGCACGCGCGCGCCCACCTGGAATCCACCGAGCACGGCGGTGGGGGGAGGGGCGGCGTGCGCGGGAGAGGGCGCTGCACCCCGCGCGCCACCCCCCGCCTTCGCTCCCCTACCTCGCCCAACCTCCTCGCCCACCTCCACCCGCCCGCCCACGACAGACGACGGCGGCTCGACCGCTGCCGCCCCTCCTCCTCCTTCCACTCTTCCTCCTCCTCCTCCTCCTCTCCTCCTCCTCCTCCTCCTCATCCCACTATTCCTCCTCCTCCTATTTTCCTCCTCCTCCTCCTCTCCTCCTCCTCCTCCTCCTCCTCCTCCTCCTCCTCCTCCTCGTCAAACTCCTCCTCCTCCTCCTCCTCCTCCTCCTCCTCCTCCTCCTCCACCACCGTGCCTTGCGCGCAGTTTTCTCCGGAGTTTGGTGGTCCCAAGCTCGGCTGCACAAGCACGGTTTGGCTGCCTCGGGAGCCTGCGCTCTATGTGGCGACCCCGATGGGTCGATCTGGCATCGGTGTTATGCTTGTGATGCACACGCGGCGCTCAGGAGAGACAGAGTCACAGTTGACCACCTTCGGAGAGCCCGCGCGGTGAAGTCCTGGAGTTTTGAAGCCGGGGAGCTTTTCGCCAGGGGCATTTTCCCTGACCCAGGGCCGCTATTCACGTTCCCCGTGCCGGCTCAGACTATCTTTTGGTTTAAGAGGCCCAGCAGCGGCTACCTATCGGGGCTGTTATTCACCGATGGCTCGGCGATGTGGACCCGAGCGCCAGGTTTAGCCCGCGCAGGCTGGTCGGTGGTCATGTGCGATGACCATGGCCGAGTGTTGGCTGCGGCCTATGGCCCTCTCCCTCTTGACCTCGCCCCCCGTCAAACGGCGAGGGATGCGGAGGATTTCGCAGTGAGCATCCTCACGCAGGTAGCGATACCTCCGTTCCAGATTTACGGAGATTGTAAAGGCACGGTCTCGACGCTGCGGAAGGGGCCTGGCTCTGGTTCGGGGTGCGGGAACCCGAGGGCCCACATGTGGGCCCCTTTCTGGGCTTCGTTCGGCCCCAGGGACTTCGAGGCTCACAAGACGAAGGCTCACTGCAGCATGACCGACGTGTACAGTGGCAGGACTACGTTATGGGAGAAGCGCGGCAACGATGCCGCAGACGAGTTCGCGAAGCGAGGAGCGAGCAGCCACGGGGTAGAGGAAAGACACTACCACCTGTGGCGCGGGCTTTTAGATTTAGCACGCGAGCCTGCTCAGTGGTCCGGGGAGGTTCACGCGTTGTTGGGGGATGGGCTGGCCGGGAAGGATCACGACGATTTGCTCGAGGCATACCTTGGGGCGCGTGCTGCAGCCGAGGAGGCTCCAGATCCGGCGCCTGAGAGTGTGCCTCAATCGTTTGATGCGCCAACTCAGCCTCCCGCCGAGGGGTGGGAGGAGTTCCGTGACGCGGGCTATAACTTTAATGGCCACCCTCTGTTGCATGCTAGGGTGGTGGCGAGGAGCGGGCGTGACGATAATCGTGCCGTGTCGTTTTGTTGCGCCTGTGGGGCCTACTTCTCGGGCTTTCGGCCCACGAGGGCCCTTCTCCAACCCTGCTACCGTGAGCATGCTGGTTCCGGCCTGGTGGACCAGCTGCGTCGGATCAGGGCCAGGCAGTATCCGTCTTACAAGCAGGGGCTCAAGGATCTGGTGCTGGAAGCGCCAGAAGGAGTCCCTGCGGAGATCCGTTTGAGGATGCGCTCCCTGTTCAGTCCTAGCCCGCAGGGCCAAGGGGGACCACAGCCTGGTGGGTCCCTGGGGTCGGTGTCGGGGGTCCCTTGCCCCAGCGATCCTCGGTCCTGCGTGCTAGGAGCCTTTGGCATAGGCGAGGCTGATTTGGCTGCGGTGGAAGCCCGCGGCAGGACCCTCTGTGCAGATGACTCGGAGGGGGAGGCCTCGTCTGACTCCGACGGCGAATCCGTCGGCTAAGACTGCGAACCTGGCTTTAGGCCGCTGTCTCATCTCATCTCATCTCATCATCACCTCCTCCTCCTCCTCCTCCTCCTCCTCCTCCGTCTCCTTATCGTCCTAATCCTCCTCCTCTGATTCTTCTTCTTCATAGTAGTATTAGTATGGTTGTTATTATTATTCTTATTATTATTATTCGTATTGTTATTCTGCATATTCGTCTTATAAGTATTCTTGGTAGTATTATTATGATTCGTCTTCGTATTCGTCTGTTTCTTATTCCTCTTAGTATGATGATTATTATTATTAGTATGTTTCTTCTTAGTGTTATGATTATGCTTATGAATATTATTCGTACGATTATTATTACTATGGTTTCTTCTTCTGTGTCTGCATCTGCTTCTGGTTCTGCGTCTGCTTCTGATTATGCTTCTGCTTCTGCTTATGTTTCTTCCTTCT